ATTTCTATCCTGCCCTTTTAGACAAAGTCTACTCCAGGCGGGTTCCATCAAACATTATAAGCTAAAACAGTTAAAACAATTAAAAACAATTCTAAACAATAGTAATTAGTAATGGTTAGTAGTGCTCAAGATGGGAAAACAGAAAATTATAGTAAAAATAAAGTCAAGTATTGACAGGAGGAAAGGCCTGCCGAAAGAGCCAAGTTTTTAATTGGCTCTTAAAAACACCCAGCGAGGAAGCCATGCGGATCACTGATGGGAGGTTATCCCAGAGCCGAGGGAACACAGGTTGGAGGCAGGGTTAGTTCTATTATTCAAAGATGCTTAATTATTGGTAAAAGTTAATTTTTTGCCCGGTGGGTTTGGTACATTGATATTATTAGATACCACCTTCTACTCGGAATGGAAGCATTTCCTGAGTATGGAATTGACTCAGATAGGTTTTTCTCCCAGCGTTCTCGTAACAATGGGTTACACAAATGCTAAAGCAGTCATAAAACAAAGGATCCAGGATATAGAACTACAAGAACACTTAGGCTTGCTGGACAAACTCAGTGCAGTATGAAATGGAAAGTTTAAACCTCCCATCTATCTGTCCAATTCAACACTCCCTAAGTTTTGAAAAGCCTTCACTCTAACGAGATTCAATCTCCTGCCTTCTAAACTTTAAGGAGGAAGATTTCAAGATATCCACTACACTGAATGTTTATGTCCCTACAATGGGGAAGAGATTGAATCTGTGGGACCTGTTTTGTTACACGGCTCACCTTATCAATATCTGTGAAGGTCTTTTCTACTGTCCATTCTACAGACATTTCCTGGGAGAAATACACATTTCTATAGAACTTTGCTGCTTTCAAAGTCCCAGATATCACTCAAAAAGTGGCTAAATGTTGTACTGCTGTAATATCATACTGTAGCCTCCTATCCCTGTGAGGCTACTGGTTGCCCTGGCCTAACATTATGACAACAAACCTTCAATGATGCAATCATGGCTTTTGGACTATGTTTTATCTGTGCTTGTTTACTATGTTATTAGATGTCTTAAAAGTAGATGTTAACATGGAAGTAAATGTTTTAGAATGGATTGCCTGATTTTCGAGGTTATGAAAATTATATTTTAATTGTAATATATCGCTGGTCCTTGACCATAAATAATTAAATTAATTAAATGTGGCAGTTAAAATCAGGCAAAGCCCCAAGTGCTGATAACATCCCCTCTGATCTGCTAAAGACCAACTTAGACTGGTGGGCTTCCATCTTGGTAACTTTCTTCACACAGCATGTAGCACAGAGGATTGGGCGTTAGCTATCATTATCCCAGTGTATAAGAAAAGGAATAGATCTGACCCACCCAATTACCACCCAATCAGTTTGCTGATTATTATTAACAAACAATATGCTTATACAGTAAAACTATTGGACTGGATTGAAATCAGGAAGGTCAACCATGGACCAGGCCTTTATCCTTCAGCATTTAGTAGATAAATATGTCTCACCAAAAGATGGTAACTTTTTTCAGCTTTTACTGACTTGTGTTCGGTGTTCAATCTTATCCATAGAGACAAATTATGGTCCAAATTTCACCAATATTGATAGACAATTACTATTGTTTATGTGTCGCCTGTATGAAAATACAACACTACGGGTGAACGGCAACCATGCTGGGGACTTGTCTAGACCAATTTGCACATTAAATGAAATCAAACAGGCCGTATCTTAGCTCCCACACTGTTTAATGTTTATATTAACTCAATAGTGAAAAGCTTTTCAAATCCTGATTTTCATCCCCCTACATTGACCATTCACTTTCAATTCACTTTCAGTTCTCCTATATGCTGATAATGCTGTGTTTTTGTCTCTGATTGGCATTATTATAAGGTGACTTTTGAGGGCTCTGCATTTATACTGCAGTGAGAAACTGTTAACTATCAATTTTCTAAGGACGAAAGTGCTGGTTTTCACTAGAAGGATAATTAAGCATAAATTGCACTCCCATAGAACCAGTTTCAAGCTATAACTACTTAGGAATAGTTTTTCAACCATCTGGATCCTGGCTTTTTCAAATAAAGAATGCTGCAGCATAGTTTTTGAACTAGAGTAAAATGCTTAAGAATAAGAATAACGAACCACTTACTAATCTACAAATTGCACTGGCAGGTGTAATTCTTGTTATATCTAACCATTTCTATGGAAAGAGCCAAAGCAGATACGATGGCTAAACAGTACTATGCCAATTGGTTTGAATGAAAGTATTGTATATCTATGGATAGATTAGATAGATGTTAACCTTTGTTGTTTGAACAAATACTTTTTTTTAGTATACCTTGCACACAGAAAAGATAGACCCTTCTCCCTTACCTCTCTTTTCAAAGCATGTGATCATGAATGGAAAGATTGCTGCCCCTGACAATCTGAAATGTTATATAGCAAGGAAAACATTTTACTATTGCAGCAGTAATTTACGTGTGAGTGGGATACGAGATGGTCACAAACCGCCGATTTGACTGTTTGTGCCGGTTCGGCTGACAGAAGTACAGCTGATATGTGGTTCAGCACCCTGCCCCCTTCAGTAGACACCCACTAAGAGGGACCTCCCAGAGGAGGTGAGGCAGGGAAGCCGGGGTGCTGCCTCTGAGTGAGTGCCCACTTGGGGAAGTCAGGCGGTGCCTCCAGGTGTGCACCCAGTGGAAAAGGTGGGGTGCCAAACTGTGAATCAGCTGTTGGGTCAGTAAACTAACCGTGCCGAGCCCGCAGTTCATGCCCATCTCTAACTTTATTTATTTTTATTTATTTATTTATTACATTTATATGCCGCCCATCTAGACATAGTGTACTCTGGGCGGCTCACGACATGTACGATAAAAGCAATTTAAAATATGCAGAGTTTTACATAGATAAAAGCAAAGCAATATAAAATATAAATCGTAAGTTTATGGTTTTAACAATTAATTTAAAGTAAAGAGTTCCAAGATGGCATAAATCAAAAGGGGAAAAAAAAGAAATAAGAGTCACTTAATTGACTGAAGGGAAGGCCTGCTTGAATAGCCAAGTTTTCAACTGGCTTTTGACTATAAAATCCCTCAACCCCTTGCTTCTTACATTTTGTACCTATCCTAGGAAGTCTCCTTTTCTCCTTTGTTTCAAGGCACACAAGGTATATGCATCTCTAATGTCCTATTTACTTCTTAATGCTCTAGACATGGTCTAGAGGGGCGGGGTACAAATCCAATAAATAAATTAATAAATAAATAAATACTGTGTTTTATTTAGTCAGATGCGAACAACATTCACCTTTTGAAAGATGATGGTGGACGACATTCCCGCTGCCAATAGTCCTCCGTAAAGTTTTCCAGTTAGTTTCTGAAGAAGAAACTTACCGTATTTTTCGCTCCATAAGACGCACCTTTCCATAAGACGCACCAATTTTTTAGGAGAAGAAAATAGGAAAATATAATCTGTTTTCTTAGCTCCATAAGACGCACAGACTTTCCACACCCCTGTTTTGTGGGAAAAAAGTGAGTCTTATGGTGCAAAAAATACAGTAACTACAGTCAAAAGCAGTGGTGTCCTTCTAAGAGTTTATAGCATAGAATATTTCCCCGGTGTACCCATAAAATTATGGCAAGCTTTTAAGCTTCTGCTGACAGGTCATCTCTAGGAACAGAGATTTATGCAAAAGTCGGAACACATTTCAGGTAGGGCAGCTAACTGATTGCTTAGCAACTTTGGTGCTTCTGCAGAGGGAAGACACACTGATGTTCTCATCGGTATTGAAAGCAATGAAACATAGCAGAAGCAGCCATGCTAATGCTAGTGCCAGAGTTTGTTGCACAAATGACTTTATCAGTTGCCTAGAAAGTCTAAAATTGTACCTCGCATTGAATAGCAAGACGTGCATTGATAGGTGCTTTTTCGTCTCTCTTTCAGTCAAAACAGCATGTGGTTAGCAAGCTACTGACATCCTAATAATTCAACAAGGAGTTTTGCATTTCCACAGTTAGTCTGAACGACAACCTAATGCTGTTATTACAGAAATTGCTTGTCCTGAAGTTTCCCCCACTTTATGCTTCCTGACAACTTGTAGCTCTGTTGAAAAGACTGCAGCACTTCAAATAACCTTGAATCTCTACAGTAGTATTGAATGCAGAGAAAAGATTATATGTATGTTTTAACATTTTTGTAGCTTGGCCTGTCAATGCCAAACCAGAGCTTCCTAACTCAGTGAAGCACTGTTCATGGGCACACACATGAGAGAGAGAGAGAGCTAAACAGCACAAGAGATAATAATGCTATTGTGGGGATCCCTAAAGGCCTCAGAGCAGGTCAAATCAAGAAACCAAAGTCAAATAAGAGAAGATTGAGCGGAAAAATATTCTGTACTTCTCTAGGTTTTGGTCTATTAGCTGGTCGACTCTTACACTTTCTTGCTTCCTGTTTTGTGCCTCTTCCCTCTTCCTTAGTTGCCAATCAAAATATGTTTTCAAATGTATGCATGACAGTGGGAGCAAACCATGCAGAGATGGTTGGGGTTGTGTTTATGTTGTTGTTTTCATTGTCGTAACCCTAGGCACTATCTATGTGCAAGTAATATCCAAGGCTTATGGAATAGCAAATTATGTAGCTACTTCTTATACTCATCCACAATTCCAGGTCCAGACAAACTTGGCAAGCATAACTATGTTTTGGATTATTCCAACTTTCCAAGACAGCTGAAATCTCCTGCCCTTAATGAAAATCAGGTCTGCGCATGAACCGCATTATTGACCCCTTTTATTGCATGGCATCTCATAAAAGCCCTTTGTCCCAAATATGTACAAAATCCTAGGCCCTGCTTCTAAAAGTATCTGCCTGTCACCATGCCACATCCTGCTACCAAGTTCCAATAACAATCCTGTCCATATTTGCTCTTCGGTCAACATATCTCTCGAACTCTGACTGCCTTACACTGGTTACCTGTCTGTTTCGATGCCAGATTCAAGCTGATGGTTTTAACATATAAAGCCATAAATGGTTTGGGATCTCAATATTGGGCAGAACCACCTTCTTCCAATGAGACCTGCCCATCCTACTCACACATCCTAGGTTGGATGTCTGAGGATGTTGATCCTGAGAGAGAGGCCCAGAGGGAGAAAACTAGGAACCGGGTCTTCTCAGCAGTCGCTCCTCAATGCTGGAACCAACTTCCCCCTGCTATCTGCCTGGCCCCTACATTGGCACCCTCCAAGAAGTTCTTAAAAACCTAGGTATTCTGACAGGCCTTTTACTGCAATCCATCAATGAACCCCAGTGACATTTTTAGCCACTGAGGTCACAATATTGCCATTTTAAATGTTTAAATGCTTTATGTATTCTATTATGCTTTTATTATCCTAGCATCTGTATTTTATATTAATGGTTATGGTTTGGCTTATTGTTTAAGGTTTTCTGATGTTTATTGTTTACTGTTTTATATTTTGAACCACCCAGAGCGGCCTTTGACTAGATGGACAGTATATAAATCTAATAAATCAATTCATTTGGATAGTACACACTCATTCTGCTCGCCATGGAATCATTTGCTTCCAATGTAGACCTTGAGTTGGCCTCAGCTTGCCTATTTCTCCTTCCTGGTGTGAACAATCCAGGTCCTTTTGCTGCCACCTAAAAAAGCCTCCTGTGAAGTCCTATCATGGGTCCATGATAGGGCTTCACAGGGGTCATGGACACACATTTGAAAAGGATTCATACACTTTGATCAGGCTTGCTGCTATCCGTGACTGATGGAAGTGTACAGCCTGCACTGCAGCAAAAAAAGAACAGGTGACAGAACCCCCCCATGGGGACTCAGTTCTTCTGCATGAAAGAATCAAAGACTGGGGTTGGACTGTAAGCTGACCCTGTTGGAATCGCTTGATGGGGTGGTTGATTTGCCTCTCCCTT